TGAGGAAATGTCACCTCGCAGGTGACAGCAGCCGCTCCCCAGCATCCGACTACCAAAAAGCACCGCAGGACCCCAAAAACTCCCTGACCCCCTGCGCCAGGACAGACCCCGGCATGCAGGGGGGAGCCGGCACCCCTTACCTCTGCGTGAGGGTCCGGGCCCCCGCTGCCACCGCACGCAGCTCCAGCCTTCCTCCAGCAAACCCCGGCAGTGCCAGGCTTTTCCTCGAAGTCCCGGCGTTTCCCAGAGAGCTGGGGCAGGATCTGGCCGCCGGCCGGCTGCGGCTCAGAAGAAGAAGAACTCTTTGCGTTTCTCCTCCCAAGATCTCTTGAGAAATCCCCCCACGCTGTCCCCGCGGCTGGCTGCAGAGAGGAGCTGCAAAAGGCCTTTTAGGGACAATTCCTGGCCTTTCCAACGCCTTGGCTCCTTGAGGAGCGGCCAGGACCCAGTGGGACGGGCGGCCAATGTCCCCCTCGCCGACGTCCCCCGGTCACTCGGCACCCAGAAGCGTGAGGCTTGCAAACAGGAAACCTGGCTGACATACCAAAATATCGTCCTGCGGCCGCCGGAGGGGAAGCAGAGCAGAGGGTGTGAAGGTAGCAGGGAGGGACAGGTTTCTTAAGGTGGAGAGAACCGGAGCTGGCACCGCGCCGTGTGCCGGGGGGCACCGGGCACCATCGCCACCCCGGGGGTTGCAAAGCCACCGCTCGCTGCACCCCGTCCCTGTCCCGGTGTGACGGATGAGCTGGCCCCAGCCCTAATCCCAGCCCGAATCCCTGCCACCTCTGGGGTGCAGCCGGGCTGGCACGGCTCTCGCTGCGGGACCGGCAGGAGCCTGGCACCGCCGGGACGGAGAGTTGCGACTGACGCGCGGCAGAGCCGGCGGTGCTGGCAGCTTGACTGCTGCATTTCCCAGCTGGGCTCACTCCCTGTTTGCCATCCCGATGCCCCCAGCACGTCCCGGGATGTGCCCCGCAGCCGGCAGGGAGAAGGACACTGCAGCCGGAGCGTGAGGAGGGGAAGTGGTGCCGGATCCCACCCTGCCAGGAACCGAATCCCAGCTCGTGGCATGAGCCTGGACCAACCGAGCCCCGCTGCCCCCGTGCCCGCAGCCCCCCGCTCACCACAGCCCAGCCTGTGCCGAGGGTCCCGGTGTCACCCGGGTGTCACCCCAGTGCCACCACCTTCCCGTGACGTCTCCGCATCATGCGAAGGCTCTTGCAGCTTCAGTTGCTGCTTCCTGCCCTTTGCAGGCAGCGGAGGCGCGAGCGCGGGCAAGGCGGCAGCGCTGCCTGCCCTGCCAGCCTGCCCGTCCCGTCGGCTCCGGCCATGGACTCCTGGGTCCCTGCGTGGCCGGGCAGAGGTAGGCGCGTGGCCTGGGGGCTCGGGGCTGGGGTCTGCCCGGGGTTGTACTGGTGCTGGGATGGGAGGAAAAAGGCCGAGGAGCAAATCCCAAGGAGGGGGACTTGGGACGGGCAGGTGCCGGGGTGATTCGGGGATGCTCTCCCTGTCCGAAGGCACGATGGAGCTGAGGACAAGGGGGTGCAGAGGGAGCAGGGGGCCCTGCCTGGCCCGGCCCTTCCAGCCCGCTCTCACCCCCTTTGAAGGGGGAAATCCAGCCCAGAAAGGCCTCATGGAGCAGAGCCGGGCTTTAGCCCGTTTCAAGTCTCACTTGGCCCATTCTTAGCCCAGGAGTGTGGGCTAATCCCACCCCGCGGAGCAAAGCCCCCCGCGCCACCTCTCCGAGGCCGAAGCGCTGGGGTGGGGGAGCAGGGACGAGCCCCCCGCCTCCGCCCAGGACCCCCGCCCGGCTGTGACACACCACGAGCCGGGGACGGTGGCGTTGTCGCCAGCTGCCTGGCCATGCCTGGGCAGGACCTGACCCGAATTCACCTCCCTGGCGCTCGCCGCGCTGGTTCGCTGCGGTTTGGGGTGTTTTGTTTCACTTTGTCAACCGCCTCCCTGCCTTCCCCTGCCCGCCGGGGCGCCGGGACGGGCTGGGTGCCGCAGCCGGTTCAAGGTGGAGATGAGGTGCCGTGTCCCCCCCAAGCTCTCCCCATCCCCCCAGCTGGATCCCCCCGCTCTCGGCCGAGCCTCAACTGGCTCCTCTGACTCAGCATGGCCTCCCAGATCAAACCGGCCCCAGCCTCTTCCACCCCCTCAACCATCTGCTGGGGATTAATGTTTTTTGGCCGAGTGTTGGCGGCTCGGGGCCGAGCTCGGGGTCCCACGGTGGCCGCACGCAGAGCCCCGCGCCCGCCGCCTCCCTCCCCTTCCCAGGGCTGACCCGACACCCCGAGCACTTTTGGGGGGCTGGGGGATTCACCCGCTTTCCCCTCTCCGCCGCCCCACCCAGCTCACCGGTGCCCGGGGTTTTTCTCCTCTGGGGTCCCGGTGTCATCGTCCCTCCTCGCCGCGCGGGTCCGGGATGGCCTCCCTGGGGAGAAGCAGGGTGAGGAGCCCTAGGATGGGGGGCACAAGGCGAAGGTGCCCCTCGCCCAGGCCATGGTCTTGGAACCCCCCCACATCCCAGCGCCCCGTGGGCAGTGACGGGGCACAGGGCCAGCGCAGGGCCCCGAGGGAGGCTTCGCTGCCCTGAGGCCGTTTCTCCCTGGGACAGGGGACCCCATGGATGATGACCGGCCCCTCTTCAGCACCTTCAAACCCATCAGTGAGGACAACATGGCCAGCGCCAAGCCGGGACCCAACACAACCCCGGTCCAGCCCCAGGGAGCAGAGCAGCGCCCGGGACACCAGGACACAGAGGGCAGGGTAGGACACGGGGCTGCGAAGGGTCCGTCCCCCCCCAGCTCGCTGTCCCAGCGTCCCCGAGCTCACGCACCCGCAGGGACCCCGTGTCTTCCCGGGCTGCATCAGGAGCCCCGTGCGGGGAGCAGAGCATTGTCGGGGCACATCCTCAAGCCCCCGGCCGCTCTCCCCTTCCCTCCAGGTCCCACCAGGCTCCTGGCTGTCCCCACCAGGCTGGTCCCCGCTGGAGGGGGACCCACGGCCGGAGCTGGTGGCCCTGCGTGCCCGGACGAGGCTGTGGTTCGAGCAGACGCAAGCCAAGAGGCTGGAGGTCAAGGGCGAGCTCCCAGCTTGGTTCCACGGCTTCATCAGCCGGAGGTGAGCAGCGGGGGGCAAGCCGAGGTGGGAAAATAAAGAGGAAATAGGGAGCTGGACCCCTGGATCCCACAAAGGGGGTGAGGATGAGCAGCTCTGGACCCCTTCCCACAGGGAGACGGAGCAGCTGCTGCAGGATCAGCCCCCGGGCTGCTTCCTCGTCCGCTTCAGCGAGAGCACCGTCGGCTTCGTCCTGTCCTACAGGTGAGGGACCCCCGGCCCCCCCGGAGGGCCCGATGCGCTCGGTCCCCGTCCCGCCCGCTGCGCCAACCCCCTCCCTTCTCTCCCCAGGGGCAGGGATCGCTGCCGGCACTTTGTCCTGGACCAGCTGCCAGACGGGCGGTACGTGATCCTGGGGGAGCGGAGCGCCCACACCGAGCTGGCCGACCTGCTGCGGCACTACACGGCCGCCCCCGTCACGCCGTACCACGAGTTCCTGACGGTGCCGCGCGGACGGGTGAGGACCCGGCCCCTCCTTTGTCCCTGCAGCCGAAAAAGCGGCGCCCCCCCCCCGAGCTGGCCGCCCTGCTGCGGCACTACACGGCCGCCCCCGTCACGCCGTACCACGAGTTCCTGACGGTGCCGCGCGGACGGGTGAGGACCCGGCCCCTCCTTTGTCCCTGACGCCGAAAAAGC